GAGATGGAGAGAAGAGAGAGGAAATAAGGCAGAATGGGATGAAAAAAAGAAATTAAGATGTATTATGTACATGTACCACTTCCCCACAGAGAATGTAAATGTTATATACACATGTACTAATAAAAACCTCACAGATTTTGTGGTTGATAATGCTTTATTTTTTCTTAACTGAATTGAAATATGGTGCCTGTTTTCTTTCTTTAAAATAAAAAAGTCTAATAGCATTTCTTACTTGAAAAGCACTTTTCAAATGTCAAGTTGTCATTTTTAAAAAAATACCATATATTATGCAGTTAATATAAAATAACATGTTTTATGGCACTAAAAATGTGTTGCAAAGCCATTTGGGGTGATATTTTTAAATTACTGTGCAGAACTGCCTGATGAAAAATGTTTTTTTTTTTTTTTTTAAATAAAGAGAGCTATGGGTGACTGTTTTACCCATTAGTTTTTCAGCATTTGTTTCTAGTTGCCTGTTGCTTAATTAATGTGAAGCAAGAAGCTTTATTCACTAATCCCACTACACCATGTTTTAATTTTCAGTTAGTTGATTTCTGTATGATTTTTGGGGTAAGGTTGTAATAAAATTTAAATTTTGAGAATGTCAGAAATCGTATTTATTTTCATGCAATATTTTTTTAACTGAGTCTCAGCATCTTATGGATTTTTAGGAAAGTAAATTCTGCTTTCATGATATCTAATGAAGTGTTACTGGCATATATATGTAAGTACCATATGAAAAGGGCAGCACCTGCTACATTGCAAATGAGGAATGAGTCTATGTTTTGGCAAGGGAGCAAAGAACCAACAAGACCAACCTCCCTCACACGGCTCTTTTTCTTGAGATGCTTACCCTGATCAGCTGACAGTAAGAAACTTTGAAATTTTTAATCTCTTCAAAAAATTAATGAAAATAGAGCCATTGGCAGGGCAATATTTTGGAGTTGGGCAGGGTAAGCCCGGAACCAGAACTACTGTGGCTTCAGTCAGTCACTCCTAGCACAGAGTGGATTGGTGATAATTGCTTGGACTGAGTCTCGCCCCTGTGTGCAATCCAATAGCCAAGTACAGTCTCCCTGAAGCTCCTAACCGGCCTGTCTGCACAGCACAAGCTAACGTGGGGAAGACTCTCAGTGGTCGACCAACTAGCCCCTCCCTCCCTTCTGAGCTTGTACTTCAGTTGTCACCAGCAGACTGGGGAGGGCAGCAATCCCTAGTCAGCATGCTTCAGAGTAATCCTAGCCAATACAGAAAGTGCCGAGGACCCCCACTATCCACTTGTCTGTAAGAAATCAGAAACATGACAAAAGGAAGAAACAAAAGGAAGTCTCCAGCCTCCACCCCAAACAATACTGGCCCAGGAGAGGTAAATACAGAAGAGATGGAGGGCAGAAAAGATGCAATATCAGACATGGCATCAGCCAACATAAATGTGACATTATAGACAAACTCAAAACTGAAATACTAATACAAATAAAGCAAAATATAAGACAATTAGTAAAAGAAATGGTAAGCACTTCTCAAGAAGACACAGATGGAAGAATGGAGGAACACAAAAAAATGGAGAGAAACCTTTGATGAAGAATATAAAAAAATTTAGGATACATGAAACAGATTAAAAGAGATTACCAAGAAATTAAAAACTCCATTGAAAGCTGGCAAAACTGTTTGAAAGAAACTAAAGCTAGACTATCAAACCTTGAAGGCAGGTTTGTAGCATGTGATCATGAAGGGAAAGATCTCTTAAATATAAAAAGGAAACAGGAAGTAGCAATACAAAGGCTAGAAGACATCAAGAGGATCTATAATTTAAGAATAAAAAATGTGAGTGAAGAAGTAGGGATAAACACAAATGAAATAGAAAGGCTATTCACAGAAATAATTAAGGAAAATTTCCCAAGCATAGGAAAAGGAATTAATATTCAGATATATAAGGTGTACAGAACTCCAGCCAGCAACAACCAAAACAGATCTATACCTAGACATATAATAATCAAGATCCCAGAAATTCAACACAAGAACAGACTATTAAAAGCTGTCTCCGAAAAGAAACAGATTGCCCATAAAGGAAAACTCATCAAAATCATGACAGACGTCTCAACCCAAACTATCAAATCAAGAAGAGCATGGAGCACTGCGGCCCTTCCAGGGAGGGAAGCACCAGCAGCTCCTGAGATCTGCAGCCATGTTGGGACTTAAGACACTGGGAAGCCAAGCAAGCATCTCCCCTCCCTGGTAAGTGGCGGCGGTGTGGCAGACTGTGGCCCTTCCATGGGGAGAACCACCAGCAGCTCTTGAGATCCATGCCATGTTGAAACTTCGGACACTGGGAAGCCAAGTACACACCTCCTTTCCCTGGTAAGCGGTGGCAGTGTAGCAGACTGTGGCCCTTCCAGGGGGAGAACCAAGAGCAGCTCCTGAGATCCACGCCATGTTGGAACTTAGGACGCTGTGAAACCAAACAACCAGCTGCCTCCCTGCTAAGCAATAGTGAACCTACTGATGCACGGCCTAGAGTCAAACATCCCACTTCCCCTACCCCTCTTCTCTTGCCCCCCCCATTAGCAAATGGGAACCAGAAATCTGAGTGTCTCCTAGGAGGTTGGCCATAGCAAATAAGGGGGACTTCCTTCTACCATCTCTTTGAAGGCAAATATTTTTATTACTGTTTTGCTCTATTCTGATTAATGGTACTGCTGTATTCAATATTCTGTTTTGATAAGTTCTATAATATTCTGTATTTCATCTCATTTTGATATACGTGATTGAAAGAACAACTATTATAAAGATAGCGAAATATACTGTGATACCTATTACTGTTATCCCAGTAACCTGCTGTGAAGTTCTGTACCAATTTCACTGTATGATCTTAGTTGGCTTTATTCTGTCTTTTTCTGTTGTAATTTACCACTTTCAAAATAAAATTAAAAAAAAAAAAAAGAGCATGGAGTAAAGTATTCCAAGCCCTGAAAGAAAATAACCTTCTGTCCAGATTGATGTACCCTGCAAAACTGTCTCTCAAAGTTAATGGAGAAACAAGATGCTTCCATGACAAAGAAGAATGGTGGGAGTTCATGATCACTAATCCAGCGCTACAAAAAATACTGAAGGGCATTCTAGAGAGAGAGAGAAAAAGACCATAGTTTCAGGAACAGTGGCAGAGGGGGCTCACTGAAGGGGGCAGACAGGGAATGAAGGGGAAAAGTAGACAACCAATGGCAGAAAAATAGCATGGCAGAGATGAGGCCATAATCACTAACATGGATGGCCTCGGTATACTAATAAAAAGAAACACTGGTAGAGTGAATCAGGAGATAGGGTCCATCAAGATGCTCTATATAATAAATATAATTAACCTGAAAGAAGGTTTATGGACTGAAAGTCAAAGAGGAGAAAATAAAGCACTATGTGATAGGGAACCAGAAAAAAGAGGGTAGCTCGCCTTTCAGCTGCAGATGGGTTGGAAAGACATGACACTTTTATACAATGGAGAACTACTCAGCCATAAGGAAGGAAAACCTTGAGGTAAATGGATACAACTTGAGATCATGCTCAGGGATAAAAAGATTCAGAACTACCTAGGTAAATAGCAGGCTGCCTCCCTAATCTAAAAACTAAAGGATTTAGTGTGATACAAAATGTACAATGTACCCTGTGAAAGTGAAAGGGGAGGAATTTTCTAAAAAGGGAAGACAGAGGACCTTGTTAATCTTGTTTCATGATTTGAAACCCATATTGCTTTCATCGTTTTGTTTAGTTTGGTTATATTCTGTCCCAGTTTGTCTACTTGTACTAGACTTGAGGGCATAGACAGCTATTTCAAAGATAGCATGATATACTACAGTAAACATTTTTAAATTCCTATTAACTTAATCTTAAACCTTGTATTGCATTCACTGTCTTGTTTTGACTAATTTTATTTGAATGTTTTATTCCATCACTGTCTTGTCTTGACTGATTTTATTTGAATCTGTTATGTTTGATAGTACCAAGTCTGAGAGTATAGGCAACTACTCTGAAGACAGTAAGATTCACTATGATAGCCATTCTGGTTTGACCATTACCTGCTTTTGAAGACCTATAATGTCTCCAATGTTTTGTTTTTATTGATTTTGTTCTGTACTGCTGTGTTCAGTTGTATTGTGTCTGATAATATAGGTAGTTCTATTGAAGATAACAAGACACATTATGATATCCATTGTAGATCACCTTGTATTGTGTACTGTATATTTTAAATTATGTACTGTGTCCATCCTTTTGTTTTGAGTGACTCATTTTTTTCATTTGATTTTATTCTTTTCAAATTGAAAATTAATGAAAATATAGCAAGATATGTGACATGCTTTTAAATTTTTCATGGCAAGGTCCTTTGAGTTTGTGTGTGTGTGTGTGTGTATATTTCATATAATATCTGCGTTTTGTGAACTGAGTTCTCTTATTCTAAATCTAGAGGATCATTGTAGCATTTATTCTGTGCCGTGCCAAAACCTTTCTTCTTATATCCTGTTTTTCAATGTTTTTCCACTTTACTTTTCTGTACTTTTTTGTTCTATTAAACGGATACTTTTAATCCTCATGAATATTATAAGGCTACTGATATCAGTGATAAAGTTTTAGCTATAGTCATAAAAAATTTCTCCATATAGTTAGAAATTTTAGCTTTTTGCTTGTTGGGTTCCCAGGGTATACCAACTTGAGCTCAACAGTTATATTTTTGTGTGACTTTGACATTTTTTTCAGGGTACTATGGAATTATAAAGTGAATTAGCAATATTACTTTGGTTAGATTCCTTAATATCTGCTGCCTTACTTGCAAAATGAAGATAATACTATCAGCTTTGCTGTTATCACTATGTTGTTGGACTAATGATAGCTTAGGAAAGTTTACAGTCAATGCTATAGTCCTGTGCAGATGACAGTGGTATTATCCATGGTATTCTTTTTATAATTTTTATTCTTCTCAGAAGAGGATACACTCATTAATTATTATGTTTCTCCAGGGAGAGTCACTCCAGGGCAGCTCACATCCTATATTCAGCTCTTCAAGAACAACCTCAAAGCTCTAAGGAATCATTGTGGGATCCTCCAGCTTGGGCTCGCCACAGTTCAAACTTTGAAACACCCACAGACTGCCAAGTGGGACAACTTTCTGGCATTTGAAAGGCTCCTTCTTCAGGTATGTTGCTATGGGATTGACTTCCAGGGAAAAGCTTTGATATTTATTATAGTCTTAGCAATAAATCATATTGTTGAAATGCGACCCATGTTGAATTCTCTAAGTCCTCCCAATTATAATTGCATAGAGACTTTTCCACACCCATTTTAAAATTTTTTTGACAGTTATATCTTTGACTTATTCAATCCTAAGAATGTTTTTTGAGTATTTGACTAACCTTTGGAATCCTCTTTTCAATTTTATGCCACTTGGACCCTTCTTGACATTATCCCTTCTTCTTTTTTAATTTTTCTATAAAATTTTGCTGTTGTTTGTTGTTGTTGTTGTTATTGTTTTATTTTTGCTTTGGTACTGGAAATTAAACTCAGTACCTTGCACTTGCCAGGCAGGTGCAGTGCCACTGAGCTATATCCCTAACCCTGTTACTGCTATTGATATTTCTTCTCATACTAACTAGTCTCTTATCTTTAAAAAATATACAGCATGTTCTATAAAATGGTATTTAGCAAAAGATGTAGGGAGTTCAACTCCATTTGTAGTGTTGGTGCAAAGATCTATGTGGGGAGGGAACTTTTCATTATTAATGAAATATATTCCTGAGAAATTAATATTTTTAAAAATTTTGTATTATAAAATGTAAATTATACAATATTTAAAATACTTTATAAAAATATAAAATATTATAATGTATAAACTTAGGTTTAACATCAAATATTTTTGTACTGTGTATAGACAATGCAATTTACCATTTTTCTGGTTTTTATTCCTTTCATTAAAGAAATAATATGATCTATCTTTCTATTTCCTATTATCTCTTTCATTTTGCTCTTTATTTACATTTTGGGTTTCTCATTTATGAGAAAATGTATTCTTTTTTTTCCCTTGTAGGCTCTCCAGAATTTGTTTTGTGATTTCTTAATGATAACCATTCTCTCGGGACTAAGTTAGAATATCAGTGTTGTTTTAATGTACCTTTCTCTAATGGCTAGAGATGTTGAACATTTTTTCATATACTTATTGGCCATTTGTACTTCTTTTGAGAAATGTCTAGTCATTTATGTAGTTTATTTTTAAATTAGATCTTCTATTTTAGGGGTCTAATATTTTTTATTTCTGTGTTCTAAATATTAGTCCTCTATTTGAGGAGTAACTTGCAAAATTTTTCCCATTCTATGGATTATCTCTTCACTTTTGGTTGTTCCCTTTGCTGTTCAGAAGCTTTTAAATTTCATATAGTCTCATTTGTTGATTCATGGTGTTATTCCTTGTACAAGTGGGATTCTGTTCAAGCAATCTTTGCCTATGCTTGTCATCTAGAGTTTTACTTATTTGATCTTTCAGCACATTAAGTGTTTCTGTTTTTTACTATTTATATCTTTCTTCCATTTTGATTTTAGTTTAGGGCTTAGTGAGATATATGGGTCTTGGGTTAGTCTTCTACATATAGATAGCCAGTTTTCCCAAAACTGTTTATTAGAGAAGTATCTTTACTTCAATGTATATTTTTGGCCCCTTTGTTCAAGCTGAATGGGCTGGGGTGTTTTTGAATCCTCTGCTTTATTCCACCAACCAGCATGTCTGTTTTTAGGTCAGTATCATGCTGTTTTTATCACTGTTCCACTTTGTCATATAACTTGAAATTCAGGATTGTGATGCATCCTGCTCTGCTCTTGTTTCGTAGGATGGTTTTTACTATTCTGGATCTTTTCTGGTTCCACATAAATTTTAGTATTCCTTTTGCAGTTCTATGAGGGATGTTATTGGTATTTTCATTGGGCATGCCTTAAATCTGTGTATTCATTTTGAAAGCATGAACATTTTGGCAGTATTTTTTCTGCCTATTTAGGAATAGGAGATATCTTTCCATTTTCTGATGTCTTCTTTGATTTATTTTTTCAGAGTACTGTAGATTTTGTAGAGGTCTTTCACTTTGTAGTAGGTTGGGTTAATTTTGTACTATTTAATTTTTATTGATGCAGTTGTGAACAGTATTGTTTTACTAATTTCTTCTTCCTAAGTTCATCCTTAGAATACAGAAACAAAAATACAGGAACACTACTGAGTTTGTAATCTTATATAATGCTAGTTATTTGTTAATTTTAGGAGTCTTTTGGTGGAATATTTTGAGTCTGCTCTGTAAAGGATCACATCATCAGTGAATAATTATAGTTTAACTTCTTGCTTTCCTGTACATATCCCTTTTATTTCTTTCTCTTGCCTGATTGCTCTGGCTAATATTTTGAAGAGGGATGATGATAGTGGATTTCATTGTTGGGTTCCTGATTTAGAGGAAATAGTTTGTTTTTCCTCATTTTATATGATGTCTGCAATAGGTTTCTCGTGAATGTGATGAAGTCAGATTGAGATAAAGTCCTCTATACCTCTGTAGGTTTTTCCAAAATCATGAATCGATGTTGTCAAAGATTTTTTCTACATCTATTGATGGTCATGTGATTTTTTTTGTCTTTGCTTCTTTTCATGTAAGGTGTATCTTGAGCCATCCTTGCATGCTGGAATGAAGCTTACTTGTTCATGATATATGACCTTTTTGATCATTTGTTGCATCTGAAAGTATCTTGTTGAGGGTTTTTATGTCTGTGTTCATTAAAGAGATTGGCCTCTTATTGTTTTTTTCAGCTGGATCATTTTCTGGTTTTGGAATAAGGGTACTGATAGCTTCTGAGAATGAGTTTAGGGATGTTTCTTCCCTTTCAATTTTATTAACAATTTTGGGAAGTATTGATGTTAGATCTTCCTTGAAGTACTTGTAGAATTCTGCAGTAAATCCACTGGCATTTAACCTTTTCTTTGTTGATAGATTTTTTTTATTATTATTTCAATTTCACTCCTTGTTATTGGATTATTAACGATTCTTCTTATTTCAGTTTTGACAATTCACATTTATCTAGCAATTTTTCCATTTCTTCTGAATTTTCCAGTTTCTTAGAGTGCAGATTTTTCAGTGTAATTGCTAGTAATCTTCTGGAGTGAGAAAGTATACATTGTGATCTCACCATTTTCATTTCAAACTGCACTGATTTGAATCTTTGCTTTTTTGGGTAAGATTTGCTAGCGGTTTATATACTTTGGTTTTATTGTACAGAACAAGAGGTTATCCTCTGTCTTTTTGAGACAAGATTTTACTCTGCAATTTAGGCCAGCCTCAAATTTGAAGCAATCCTTCTGCCTCAGGCTCCTGAGTGCTGGGATTATAGGTGTATGCCACCATGCCCAGCCTGCAACAAGCTCTTTGATTTACTGATATATATATATATATATATATATTTTTTTTTTTTTTTGAGCTTTCTCATTTTTTTATGATAACTATAAGCATCCTTCTTAAGACTGCTGTCATTGTTTCCTATAAATTCTGTTATGTTTTTTGGTCTGGTATGTTGTTTAATTTCCATACATTTGTATTAGTTCTGTGGTGTTTTTTGCTTTTGATGTTTAGTGTCACTGCTCTGTGATCTGATAATATACATGGAATAATTTTGATTTTTTTCTTTTTGATTGCTGGAATTGAACTAATGACCCCACACTTGCCAGGCAAGTAATGTGCCACTGAGCTGTATTCCAGTCTCGATTTTGATTCTTTTTTATGTAAAGATGCTTATTGGCTAGTATATCATGTATTTTGAAGAAAGTACCACGTACTACTGAGGAAAATATGTATTATGTTCTTAACAATATATAGAGATCTGTCTTAGTTACTTTTTACTCGTTGTTGAGACAAAATACCTGAAGCCCAAAGTTGGGAAAGGAAAGGTTTATTTCTTACAGTTTTTGGAGTTTCAGTCCACACTCAGTTGGCTCCAAGACAGGCGGGCATGGCTGGACTACCGTTCATGGCAGCTGCAAATGGCAAGCTCCAACCAGCAAAGAGAAAGACACACCTTCTTCCTGCCATTACATCACATCCTGGCTCCACCCCTATGTGGGTGGAGCACTGACACAATCAACCCAAGCACTAGACAATGAACGAATAACAAATGCACAATTCAAACTCTTGAGGGCTGGGGGACACAGACATAAACCATGACAATATCTATTGAGTCCATTTGTTTGGAGGTTTAGTTTCATTTTTGTTGTTGTTGAGATATTATGTCGTTGATGTATTTGTGACAGTGGAGTATGGAGGTCTCTATTTTAATTGTGTTGATTTTTATTTGATTTTAGTTGTCATCACTGCTCAGACTCTGACACTATCCTGGAATTCTCTTTGTCCCTCAACCTCTATATGGATACCTTTTGATTCTGACAATCCCAGTAGAACTGCTGCTGTATACCATTTTCTGATCCTCCCTCCTCAAAATGTCTTCCTCTCTTCTCAGTTAACTCTGTCTCTCTGATGAAATACTTCAGGATCCTACCTTAAGAAGAGGAAATATTTATTTTAGCTCATAGTTTCAAAAGTTTCAGTCCTTTGAAACTACAGTCAGCAGGCTGCCTTGCTTTGAGATCTGTGGTAAGTCAGAAATGTCATGGCAGCAGGGTGTGGTGGAAGAAAGCTGCTCCCCTCAGGCTGGCCAGGAAGCACAGAGAGAAGGCAAGAGCCCAGGAAGGGGCCAGGGACCAAATGAGGTCCCCATTGCAACTAAGTCAAACTCCTGTTTTCAGCTCTTCTAATAATGCCCTCAAATTATGATCTCATCAGTAGATTAATCTACTGGTGAAGTTAGAGCCCTCATCATCTAATCTCTTCCTGAAATGGCAAACAGAGACATTGAAACAACATCCAACATTTGGAGGCAGATTATTTAATGTTGGAAGGGCACTGACTAGGAATCAACTGTCCCTCAGGATGTCAGGTCCCGATCTCTGCTGGTCTAGGGCTTATATGAGATAAGCAAGTAGAAAATATAGAGGCAGAAAGGCTTGTCAGCTGGGGAGTGGTTCTTACAGTGGGCATCGTAGTGACCAGCTATGCATCCCAGTGACCAGTCATTTCTAGTCAACAGAAGCAACCAGAACTGTGACAGGAACTATTACGAGGCAAC